ATAATTTAATATTTATAAAAGTAATATTAATATTTATTAAATAAATAAATATAATAAAATAAGTATTAAAATAATACCTTAAATACTTAATTTTCTTAAGTAAAAGTTATAAGAAATTTAAAGTTCTCTTAAGCTTATAATTATTATACTTTAAAGAGTATTAATTATAATAATAATATATATATATAAATTTATATTTAATTATAAAAAAAAGAATTATATATACTCTTTTTATAAGTATACTTATTATTAGGGTTATTTACTTATAGTTAAGGGTTTACCCTTATTTAATTATACGTACGTAATTAATACCCGTAATAAGTGACCCATTTTAACACCAAACGTCAACGGTGCCTTTGTGCGCCATGCCAACAAAGAATCTGGTAAGATGAATCGCACTAATCAACGCTGGAGCCCTGCGGACACAGCGGCATTGTTGCCGGAAATTCCACTACAGCGCCATGGAGCATACGTGGAGCTCACGAGAAAGGAGGTTACCCGACGAGTACAGTTGCTTTTAGGACCAGACATGATTATTTTCGCAGATGCAGGAGATTCGCGGTTCAATTGCATGCAACTGCAACTTCCGCTCGGAGCTGGATTCGAGATCGAAATGCAATGGGGCCACATTGAATGGTCGATACCAGCCTCGTTTGGCTACGCGCTTGCGAGGCCCAAAAGAAGAATTATTGTCATGATTGGAGACGGGGCCTTGCAAGTAACGGCACAAGAGATATCTCAGATGGTGAGACATCGCCTACCCATCATTATAGTGCCAATGAACAATAAAGGGTACACGATCGAGGCAGAGATTCACGCCGGGGAATATAATCGGATTTATAATTGGAACTACGTTCTCCTCGTACAAGCATTCAACTTTTCTGACACAGGAGGACGTGCACTTGGCCTTAAAGCAGATACGGTCGAGGAGTTTTCTGAAGCCATTGAATTGGCACAAGCACACGTGGATGGACCAAGTATCGAACGGGATGACTGCAGCAAAGAGCTGATTACGTGGGGACATTATGTTGCAGCTGCCAACAATCGTTCCGGCATGACTATCGAGACGTAAGCTTATCGTGAATGCTTGACAGTACCTTTTCAAAAAAAAAAAAAAAAGAAAGAAAAAAGAAAGAAAGAAAAAAAAGAAGAAAACAAAGAAGGAAAACTTCAGCACATGTCCATGTCTCTATGCCAGAAACATATGCCCTTACGGACATCCCGTACAACTTTGCCGATATCAAGCTAGGCACTCTAATTTTCCATACTAAACAACCGAATCAAGATGCCCATATTCCGCCACGGTCACTACAACAGGAAACTGATTTTACCTTTCGAGAGGAAAAGGGGTTCAACTATATCCGCAACCCGGATATGAAATCTTCAACACGCACGCAACTCACTCGTTTGCTTACCTTTACCAAGCACCATTCGGAGTCGGACAACCTTCATCTTCACTCCAAGGAAGGACGCATCTACGAGCTGACCCAGCCTCAAAACCTCTTTAGCGAGTTCTGCAGAAGCGCCAGCGTCAGAAAGTGGCTGACGAATTGCGTCGAGGGCGGCGACGATCCATTCTTCATCACAGGCCTCCTAACATTCACCGATGCCAAGCCTGTAGATGAATATGAGCTGGAAAGAGTCAATTAGATGGCACCTGGGTTCTTATTTTATGGCTTCTCACCTCTACAAAAGGGCCCGGAGACATGACATGTTCTGGAGGTGAAATTCTGTGCTAGGGGTATCTAGTAATATATCTTCCGAGACAGTGCGAGCTTAATCAGAAATCTTGCAAATATTGTAGTCAACAAGGTCAGTGGCCTTGTGCCAACTATTCTGGTTCACCTAACTGGGATGATTACACGCGGCAAAGGCGCTGCAAGTAGTCTACTAGGCGCACGTTGCTCAAGGTGTCAACCCCCCGACCGAGCAGCTTCACCTTTCAACCCAATGATTCACATGAAGGAAAAAAGCTTGTTATTATGTTCAAGCTGGGCTACGCAGATACTTGGGCCGACGGCGGCGGTCCACGCTAACAAACGAAAGTACCTCTCGGAGGACCTTGTCCATTTTGGTTAAATCCCCGGTGAGCGCCCCAGATCTTGGCCACAAAAGCACACAAACTTTTGACATGTGCCGCGGCATGTCATGGGCAGTGCCTCGAACCCCTTTCTTGGCTCCTGACAACGAGCAATGTATTTAAGCGCCTGGATTCTCCGCATTCTGGACGCGGGGAATCTGGGGAAGACACTTAACGTCGTTCCAAGTTGCAAGTTTTACTGTCTTTTCATTGGTGACTTTGACACTTGACTTTTATAACCTTTCTTACGTCTTGTCGAAGAAAAGCACTCAATACAAATACCAAAATGGACAAATTCTACGGCAGCTGGACCCAAGAGTCGTGTGAGAATGTCGACGCTTTCCTAGGCGCTCTCAGTACGTTTTCTTTTCCTGATGTTGCTAGGCTCCTGAAGCGGTGAATTAACGCCAAAACAGAAATTGGCTTCTTGCTACGCACTGCTGCCAAGACGCAGACGCCCACAGTTGAGTTCTCTGCCGAGGGCGACGTCATCACCTTCAAGACCATCACCACATTCAAGACGGACCAGGTCGAATTTGAGCTTGGCAAGGAATTCCCCGAGAAGAGACTGGATGGCGTCATGGTGCAGACCACAGCCGTTCTTCAGGACGACGCCTTGGTCTTCCACAAGGAGGGCGACAAGCCGTACACTGTGACCTTCTCCCTCGAGGGCGAGAAGCTCAAGGTCAAATATGTCATTGGCAATGTCGTGGCCACTCGCACATTGAAGAAGAATTAGGGGAATACTTTGAGAAAAATTTGAGACTGACTGTAAGCGGGGGCTTGGGCAGTGTAGATTATACCTCTTTGTATCATAACATGACGTGTAGCCCATGAATTTGGGCTGCTACAACGACAGGCCAGGGGATGCTGTGTACGGGCTGGTGTCGTCGTGCATGAACCAGCAACTCTTATCCGGCGGTGGCTTTGAAATAGGCTTACGGGCAGAGAGCCGGACCAATGGAAGTAGACTTGACATGTGAAATCGGCTCGTCAGTCGGGATGGCGGCCGAGATGCTCCACAGCAACGAGTGGATGGGCCGAACATTGTGACAAAAATAGCTGAGTAAATATCGGCCTATATGTTATTTTGTGACGGCTTTAGGTATTTAGAATTAACTTTTCTTTGCCCTGATAAGTCTCGGAGCGAAGCAACCCCTTGCTCATCCCAGATGTTACAACCTAGACTGCTCGATACTTGCGCTTCGTGATGTGATTCTCGGCTTCTGGTTCTCTACCGCCCTGGGTAGCCCACTTAGTTGCCAGCGAGTATAAAAGTTGAGATGTTGATATCAGAGCATGTTGTAGCCCTAGTAATATCACTCCAGTAGTTCCAATACATAACATCTGCAGAACAGATATACACGCGCGAAGAGTTTCTATGCTTTACTTGGACGACATGGGCACCCGTAGTGACCAGGTCGGCCGGCGGCAAGTGCCCGCCTATTTCTCTTTTTTTGACAGGATATTAATTGTGAATAGTCAATCCACTCCCAGCTGCCTAGTAGCCCCTACCCCCGATGAGTCTTGTGGTGGTCTCTCGTCTTGTCCACGTCTTTGCCTTCCAGGAGCTGCCGTACGGCGGAGACGTGGCCTTTGCCTGCTGCCCACGACAGCGGAGTGCGACCATCTCTGCCAGAAGACAGGTCGGCCCCTTTTGTTGCTTGGAGTACCTTCACAGCCCTTTCATGGCCGCCAGCTGCAGCCCAAGTAAGGGGCGTCTGATCATGTGTTTGAGCCGCTCGTCCGTGCTCTAGCTGGTCCAGGAAACCGCAATCTCGAGCGCATCTGCCTCGAAATAGAAGGGCCTTGACTACGTCTCTGTAGCCAGGTGCCAAGGCCGCAAAAAGGGGGTACCCATATCTCTGGCCTCTGACATCTTCTTTCGAGTCCTGATCAAGTACCATCTCGACGAGCCTAGGTAAGTTTCTATCTGCAAGGATATACAGCAGATCTGCTGAGTGCCTATACAGTTCTGGAATCAAGGTGGGCTTAAGCATGTTATACTTTTGGATCCATTCAGTGAGAGAGAAGGCCTTGAGGGAACTGTCTTGTGGAATCTGTAGCGCTGCTCTGCCTATATGATATAGTAGGCTATTGGTAGAGTATTCCAGGAACGGGTATCTCTTGGGCAACGGGAAGGATTTCCATCAGGTCTCTTACATCTTGGTCGTTCTTGGAGTCTCGAAGCCCGAGCTGGAAGTATAGATAGCAGCAATGGGCTAGACGCTCATGACTCATGCTCTCGAAAGTTGTCTGAGCAATGTCCGGCCAAAGTTCATGAATGCCGGCATTGAGGAAGAACTTACGCACCGACTCATGGATGATCTGGACAGTGGGAAGGCTGGATTGTGTGGTCTTTACCAGGCCCCGTGAGGAGCTCACGTATCTGCTCATATCGTCTGGTGTGATCTCCTCGGGATCCCACGGGTCTAGCTCACCCGATCGAAGCTCAGTCGCGGCGGCAAAGTAAAATTCTGCCAGCTTTGATGGACGTCTGGAGAAGAGAACCCACGCGATACAAAGGCGGAAGTCGCCAGATTTTCATTGTCCCTCTTGAGAATATCCCTGAAAACGTAGCCCAGTTTCGAGGGTATGATGTCAAGCCGCTTTCTAACGGCAAAGACTCTGCCATCTTGATACTCGGCGTTGAGGATCTGGATCACGAGGCCCGATTATCCTGGCCGATAGTAATGCCCCAATGACATCCAAGGAGCTTATTACTAAATCGCATTATACAATATCATGGACATGCGTCCGGGTCTTGGCCGCAGATGAGTTTTCCAAGTGGCTTAGCTATCCCTCCGACTTCCCTGATTCCTCCTTGACCTTTCCGAGGTTCGCGGTGACATCATGGGGCAGGGCACGCTAAACCAAGAACTTCAACCAGTCTACAGATGAGCTCCTGAGACAATTTTGCTGTTATAACAGTTATCTCGCGTATCAACACACAAACATCATCACTGCTCTGGATGAGGGCGGCGCTCAGAGCTGGGTCAATGTTGACCTTGGAGGGCTGCTTTTCAATGGACTCATGTCATCAATGCGGAAAATCTAAACAAAAGGGAAGCTTTAAGCTGAGATGGTTTGGATTCGGAATAGTGAGGGGTCATCGGGCCGCCGCCTTGATCAAGAAAGATTATGAATGAATCAGATGGGTGTCTTAACACCGTTATTGAATTGTAAAAAAAAAAAAAAAAAAAAAAAGGCTAAATAAAAGGCATTTAATAACACTATATTTTAATCGTACCTAGGCTGGGGAACCGTAACTAACCACTCAAGACACCATGAACGCATCGCGATGCGTCAGACACACTATCCGACTTGGTGATAATATTCCAGTATCATCTACTACCAAGGCTCCGTGGTCGATGGACGGTATGTTGCAGCTAAGAGTATGCTATAGAACACTCTAACCGCCATATATAGAAAACCTTATGCACTGTTCATGTGAGTCAGGGATCCTATGTTCAACTTCATTCTTGTACGACGACGTGGCTGCCTTGGACGAGATGTAGAGTTCGGGCAAGAAAATTTTGAAAGCCCCTGATGAGCCGCACTGGAGCCACCCGGATTCCTACGATGTTCCCGGCCAGAGCGAAAGCCCCTACCCGATCTCGGACTCTAGTCTAAAAGTATGGTCGGCATGATCATATCATGTCCAGTGACCAGCTACTGAGAGGACAGTACTGTCCCTTTTGGTGGTTCAACCGGTTACAAGCCCGAAGCAGCCTTGCTCAGATGCCTAGTAGTTGTGTGCATCTCTGGTCGTCTTGTCTCACAGCATCTTTGCATCGGTGCATGTTGGGTCACTTTTCAATGACTGATAACCATGCTAATAATTTCTCTAGGACTCAAGTCGCGTGGCTGGTTAGTTTCCCCTTCTTGTGTTCCCGGCAGCAAGTCTTGGGTGCACAGTTCATGGCCCACTGCACCTTTATACATCATTGACTAGGTCGCTACTAAGCCTGCTTGAAGGTGACAAGAGCCGTTACCAATCAATTTTAATAGCTATGATACCCCCGGACTAACAATCGCCCGCCTTGCTCACATTGACCTTGAGGCCCTGGTGCTTGACTCCAAGGTCCGCACACTTCGGGACCGTAACGCCACTACTGAGTGGTCTCAGTGCTTCCAAAATGGTGAGAGACGGCCAATGCGCTATTCTGTTCATACTATTGACTTGATACGTCATGTACTTCAGCCCTGAGCGGGAGTTCCTAGAGAATTCAATTGTCTTTTCCCAGAGGAGCGTCAATGGGACGGTCCACATGATGGCCTATAAGGGCACTGCCTATGTCACAGGGCAGTTTAGTGAGACTAGCAACTTGTACTCGGAGACGGAAGCTTCTATGGATTCGCTTGAAGGCTTCAGTCCAGAAGTAACATGTTCCAGTTTTTGTCAGCTTGCTTCTACTCACTCTCTGCTGCATAGGCAACTTCTGGTTTCATTGCTATCTAGGCAATCCGGCTCGAGAAGTATGGTGCCGCCAAGATTAAGGAGGGCGAACCTCTGGCTAGCAAGTAATAAGAGGACTCATCGTGATTACACCAGTATTACAATTGCCATGTCTCTAGTTGCTTAGCTGGTGAATGAATGTCTAAGTACTCAAAACAAATCGCGATGATAGCCTCTAACTCTAACTCCAGTTCTGTGTTGCCGCATTTTTGGCATGCGTCGTTTACTTTTTTTGTTTAGGGTTAAAGGACAAAGCAGGCCAAGAGTCTGTTTCAGCCAAGCTCTGCTTTGCCTTTGCCCAGAGCGGATCCATGTTTCTGCCTGGACCAAATCTCCGGTGAAATTTAGACAAAATTGTGTGCTCGTTCTCCTCCGCAGGCTTCAACTCTTGTAGAAAAGAGACGTCTTCCTCCGTGTACTTGTTATTCGTCTCGGTTCCGGACATTCGTTTCCTCTAAGTCACCTGGCTTTGGAGGCTAGCTTGACTCTGTAAAGAGATAGATGCCAGGTGACCCATACTCTTGCAGCATGGCCGTCATTTCCTTGGGAAGGAGCCATGGTGGAAGCATCGCATTCTCCAAATGCCCAAGACGGAAACAGGAAAAGTTGACGCGTTTCGAGCAAACGAGTGACTATTCCCACAAACGAGGCGATGCGACGCGAGGTCTCGTGCATCATGTGGCGCTTTGTGGTCAACTACCAAGTGGACCAGCCACTTAGTTGTCAACGGGTTGCAGGGTTTAGACTAGTCCTAAAAGGTATCAAAGCAAAGACACCTTGAGAAATAATAAAGAGGTTAAGAAAGTAATGAGTCAAAGTAATCTAGTAAGATCGAGCAGATAACAGCTATTTTGAACAACAACACATCGCCTCAGACGCTAATCAGGGACTTGGTATGGTCGTCAACTTTAGTCACGTTAGAAAACGTCTGGTACTTACGTATCTTAGGTCTGCCAGCTGCACTACCGTGGAGAACTCTCCTGGTAGTGCAAGCTCGCTATCTGGTCTGATATATCATCACCAGATATCACGTATCCTAGATCAAGTAAACCAGATTTCGTGTCCCAGCGCCTTCCGCCGCCGCCCACGCGGTCCCTTCGCAGGGGACCGTTTATGGCGGCGATGCGGCTCTCTTTATAAGCTGGAGATATGCATCAGAAAGTCTATTGGCGGGATCTGCCATGGAGGAGTGGCCAGCTGTCTTGTCGGTTAAGCGGTCGCGAGCGAAGCTCTGGGAAATGTTATTGCGAGAAGAGCGCGGAAACCATCCATGGTCAATTGGTGCTTGCCGTCCCATAACATCTCCTTGCCGTCTTCGCTCCATTTAAAGAGAAACGCTGGTCTGTCTACATAACTTAAACTTATGCCGTATACCACTAGGCTAAGAAACTCTCTAAGAGACGACAGGATGCCATCACACATCTTATCCCGCAGCACTTGACTAAGTAGCTTGAGCTGGCCGCATCTTGCCCGAGGCAGTGTCCCTTGCAGGTGTATAAGACGCGTGCAGTAGATAAGCCCAGAGAGATGCGCCGTACAGGTGGCCAGGCCCGCGAACTCCGTCCCATTCTCGACATAAAGCCCACATACGACGAAATAAACGAGCAACGTGGCGCCCGCTTATCCATCGTTAGAGTTCTTTATTGCTATAAAAAGGCAGTATCGGAGTATAAAATCGAGATGCTGATCCCGTCCAGGCCGAGGAGTAGCTTCCTAGATATCTTGCATAATTATCTGGCCCTCATTTTTTTTTCAACTCCACTGAATTAATAAGTCACTAATCCTCCCCAGTTATTTCACCTATATTATAAATTTATAATAATAGTTGTTAATAAAAATAAAGAGGCTAGGGTTATAATTCTTCAAAGGCCCCTATGTATAGTCCCTACTAATTCCCTTATTAGGTTACTCACTTATAGCTAAACTATTACACTTTAAAGGGCACTAATTATAA